TTACACTGTATTATGGACCTAGTAGATTGATTGACTTAATCAATTAAGTCCTTAATGGGTTAAGTGTTTCTAATTAACCCTAATCATCATTTCATGTGAAAACCATAATTGTGTTGGGTTTTGAGTAGGGCCTAGATGTTTGGACTGTTGATGGGCCATCCAAGAACAAGTATATAGACTAGAATATTTGGATGGGCTTTAGGATAAGGCCCATTGGAAAGGCTTAGGCCCAATTTGGAAAATTAGGCCATAAATTTGCCATAACTGGGCCTCGATGATTATGAGATGTTGGGTCATTGGAATGCGAAATGTTTTGACTGGAACAAATGGTTGGGCCTTAGGGTAAGACCATATAAAGTTTTGGGTCCAATTTGGAAAATTGGGCCATAGTTGGGCCTTCGTTGATTATTTGACTATTAGGCCTTCACAGTATGAGTTTGGGCCTTAATCTTGGACCAAGCTAGGTTAAGGGTAAAATGGTCCTATTACCCCAAGTGGGGATTTTAGAGTTATGCATTGGAAACCCAAATGGTTAATTGGGTTTTATTTTGATGTTGACAGTTCACGAATCTGTCAGCTAGCAGCCAATAGCCAGGGATTGTCTGTAGTGTGAGGTTAGTTTCCTCCTAGATTGAACGGGTCTAAGGCACCAATACTGGTCGATGTACTTTATATGTTCTTGATAGGAACAAATAAGTGTGGGCAGGTGTAACATACACGTTATTAACCTAGTTTAGTTATCGTGTTTTGTAAACCTTATTAGCTTAAAATGAATAATGTTATATGGTTTTGAACTCTGAGTTCTAACAAGACACTTTTTACGAGATTTGAAGTAAAACTATGTTTAGAATCACTCGAAAAATATTAGAAGTTTTATGAGATTTCAATCAAAAGTCAAATATTGAAATTTAACAAAAATATAATATTTGAAATGAGTAAAATTTTATTATTGAAAGTTGTAAAGAATCTCGTTAGAAACATTTAGGCGAAAACCTCATCGAAATCCGAGTTATAATGAAGAAGTTATGACCAATCGAAGATCCGCGACAAAACCGACAAACACTATTTAGCGTAAAAAGTGAGTTTTCAGTAAATTACTTTTTAGCTTTAGTGATCTAAATGAAAGTCTTAGTATTCGATAAACTAATAACTTTCATAAAAAGAACGTCAAAATCTAACTGCGTATGAGGAAGCTATGATTTTTCTAAGTTTAGGTATACTAGTATTCAACTAAAAACTCGAAATAAAGATTGAGTAATTTTTAGCCGACGCAGCCTAAACAAGAATTGAAGGTCTCTTCAATAGTAGTACAACGGTAAAAAGACAGACGAAAATGAACGTCAGATGAAGAAGTTATGAATTTTTAAAGGATTTTTCTGTCCCGGTCTGTTAAAAATAATAATATTAAAAATAATAATATTAAAAATAAAATCAAAATTAGTCGACAGAGTCTAAACGAAAGTTGTAGAATATAATCTCGCCTACGCGTACATATAAAATGTCGAAAACAAAGCTTGTATGCGAAATTTATGGATTTTGAATTTCGGGACACAAAATCCGAGAAATCACAAAATTCGACGAATTTCGCATGGCCAGGGTTCGGCCACCTCGCCCTTGCTCACAATCCTGCCCCGTGTTCCGACCAGATGACGAGTCCGAAGTGTGGCCTATCGAGAATCCGACGCGTGTAGCGTCTATGGAGGCGTCCGAAGTCGACACATGTTCAACCTTCGCATCCGACACGTCTCGCCCTCTCTCTGATGCGCGCCACCTGCCTCCCTCACATGCGAGCCAGGTGCCCATTCCTTCTCTCTTCGGCCGAACCTGGCACTATAAATAGGGAGGTGCGAAACCTCCCGGCTAATGTTAGAAAATTCACACTTTTTACCCCTAAACCTATTTTTTTTTCTATTCCAACTTCCCCAAAGCCCCGTGATCATACCCAACACTCGCAAAATGTTTCGAAGTGCCCGAAGACCCCAAGAAATTTATCTTTTCGGTATGAAGCTCAACCCTCGCAAGGCCTGGTTTTCAATAAAGCTCCCGGTTTTCATCGAAGAAACTTATTTATTAGAACGAAGTGTTGCCCAAATTACTATTTTAACCCCAGGTTATTTCACGGTGAGTTCAATATATAGGAACAATTATATGTTATGTGTTATATGTGCTATGTCCTTTTCTATGTTATTTTCCCGTGTTATTATTTCGTGCTATTATGATAGCAAAGCTATACCTTTGACCATGTGATGAGTGAAAGGACTAGTATCATAGTGGTATTGGTATGTAGCCTCTGGCCGTGCAGAGCATGTCTCGTAAGAGAATGACATCTACCCCTATGGCACTAGCAGAAGGTTAGATAGGGCTAAAAGCGTGAAATCTACCAAAATGTTAATCAGAAATTGTATGTCTTCTGTCCCATTTGGGCTAAAGCCTTATTGATGTATATCAAGTATTGAAATTGCTATGTCTCATTGATTGTATATCTTTGAATCAAATCATTGATTGATATGGAAAGCTTGTCACATGATTCACATGTGCCATTTTTTATTCCTTGTTCCTCTTTGCTTCTTCCATATTGATGTGTGTATATGGCATAACGTTATATTGTATCTACTATTGAACTCACTAAGCGTCACCGCTTACCCCTCAGCATCCAGTATAGTCATATACTGTTGGAAGATTTTGAATAGTTTATACTATTACTTTTGTATTTGAGTTTAAGTATGTATAAAATTATAATATCCTTGGAAGTTTTGTAATATATTAAAACTTAGTCGGTTTGTATCCAGTCTTTTGTAATAAGATCATCAATGTAAAATATAATATGTTTATGAATATGCATGTAGCATGTTTTGGAGTAACAATGTGTCGACTATGAAAGGGGTTCTTTCAATCATGGTATCAAAGCAGTATTTTAAGTGAACTAAATCCCACAGATTGGCATTTAGACTTAAAATATTGGAAGTTCAATATATGAACTGAATCGTTGTAAGTATATGGATGCAAACCATAGGAAAGACTTAAGTGAAGTATTACGTTATAATGAATCCTAATATTCTAAAATATTATGTTACTCAAAAATTTCAGAGCAATAGCTGAACAAGTGAGTAGCTATACACCAGAGATGGGTGGAGATTCTCATCCTGATGAAGGAGAAACTCCAGTATCCCATCGTGAGGTGCAACTCTTGGATAAACTTACTGGTGTTAATCGGCATACTCTCGAAGAACATAAGAAGGGTAAAGAGAAAGCTATTGGAGAATCTTCAGGAGAGAAGGTGAAGCGTCACTCATTCAAAGCTTTCAAGAGTAGTGGTGCTACGGAGTTTTCAGGAGTCCTTAATCCTATTATTGTTCTTACTTGGATCCTAAACACAAAGAAAGTATTTCGTATTTCTCATGTGATTAATGAAGACAAGGCTAGTTATGCTTCTGCAATGTTCGTTGGTGAAGCCTTGGTCTGGTGGGAAGCAACATTTGAGACTCTCAATGAGTATGATCAGGAGAATTTATCCTGGGAGATGTTCAAAACTTGTTTGTTAGGAAAGTATTGTCCTCTAAACATGAGGAGAAGATTGGAAAAAGAATTCCTCGAGCTCAAGCAGGAAGGAATGACCGTGAATGAGTATGAAACTCAATTCAATCAGAGAGCACGGTTTGCTACAAAGTACATCCCAACTGAAGACGATAAAATTCAGTTATTTATGGAAGGGTTACGGTATGAAATCCGTGATTTCGTGATCAGTCGAGATATTCTATCATTTGATAAAGCTGTTGAGTATGCCCGAAAGCGCAAGCATGACTTGGAGATACGTGGTGCCACTCTTTCTGTTTCAAAGCATCCACGTATTAATCAAATTTCTCCTGTTTCCTCTATTCCAACAGCTCGACCTGTTCGATCTGATTCTAATTTAAGGGTGCAATCTTAGAGCGCCTTTCGTGGCCGCGGTAGGTCACAATCTTTTTCTATTCAATCGTCATCATGTCTAAATTGTGGAAGGAATCATCAGGGTCAATGCAGAATGGAAAAAGGATTGGTGGTTTGTTATGGTTGTGGAGAAGTGGGCCACATGAAGCCTGGTTACCTGATGAAGGATGCTACATGTTATGCTTGTGGTGTTACTAGCCACATGAAACGTAACTGCCCTACTCTTACTAGACAAATGGCGGGAAGTCAAGCTTCTGTTCAACAACCAAAGAATACTCCAACTAAAAATGAGGAGGTGCCAAAAGCATAAGGCCGTGCATTCCAGATTACCACAGAGGAGGCATGTGAGGATCCGAATGTTGTGACGGATACATTTCTTGTCAACTCTAGACCTACTCACATCTTATTTGATTTTGTGCCTCAGATTCTTTTGTGTCTCATGAATTTACGCATTTTTTTTGAAATTGTTTGCCATATACACTAACATTTATTAATGTTAAGAGCCGATGACTAGGCAACCTCAAGCCTCAGCTCCATGAAAATCAAAACCAGCCAACACTAAAAAAATGTAAAAAGAAAGTCGGCCGATAAAAAAACGCGCAAGCTGATAAAAGTTAAAAGCCTAGCCGAAAATTTTACATCAGCTAAAAAAACATTGCAGCTAAGTCCTTCAAGATTTAATTATATGTATAATATGTGTTAGAGCTCATTAATTATATCTAATAATTTTATTAGTATAAATAGCATAATTGTAAATTTAAACGATAGACCAATTTGAATACACTTTACAAATAATCAAATTGTCTCCAAAATTTTGTTTTCTTTCTTATAGTTTTAATTTAGTTTTTATTAATCATGTTTTAATTACTTTGAATATATAATATATTAACATATACCATAATTTACATTCTAAATATTAACGAGGACATAGTTGTCTTTCTTTTAAAAAAATTGTGGATAAATAGAAAAAGTGTGGAATTATCGGCTAAAGTAAGCTTAATAATATAACTTTTATTGCATAAATTACATATATGAAAGGAACGCTAACATTGTCCGAATCTATCGGTTAGAATCCTAACTAAAACACCTCCACCTTCCCTTGTCAATTGGCACCTAATTTTCCTAACATTCAGATCGCATTTCTACTCGTGCAAGACAAACTTTTGCAACAACCCATGTTTTCCCCAATGACTTTATCGACAACCAAACCCTTCGTTCATCAATGGCTTCGTTTCATCAAATAGTGATTTTATGGGTCTCGTTTCCATTTTTATCCGAACACATTTCTTAGCTTTCAGCAACTTTCAATCAGCCATTCACCAGCCGCCACCACCGGAAACCACAATGATTCCTCGCCGACGTCCAATATTATTCACTCTCGGAACCTTACTCTTATCATTCCTGCAAAAAATTTCAACAAGATTTCACATTTTCAGAAACCCAAAAGGAAAAAATGCGAAGATCTTGTGTGCAATCGAACATCAAATGCTAACAATATTATCATTTTTTGATGATCATATCATGGTATTCGAAGATCTAATCGAAACCCTTTTCCCTTCATCATCCCGTTTCTTTGACAAAATCGATGAATTCATACGATCATCAGAATCTTTACCTCCAAAGTTTGAGGATTTCATGGACCATGATGTTCCAAAGATCATGCAACGTGTACCCTTTCTTGATAGGTTTTTTCATAAAGATGAGAAGGAAATCGTGATTGATATCACGTGTCATGGTTATAGAATCGAACCAGAAAACTCTTCCCAAGAAGATGATGTTGTTGATTCATCAAAAACGGCCTGCGAGTTTACTTGCGAGTTTAGTGAGGAGGAGGAAATGGTGGAGAAGTGGTCGGAAGAGAACGATGAGGATGATCTGAAAAAAGAAAAGAATAACATGGAAGATAGTAATGGAGATTTATATTCTGCAACAACGGAAATTAATAACGAAGAAATTCTCAAGTCTGAAGATCCAATCTACGAACTATTTGAAGCAGGTTGGCACATGTCGCCACGTGCCCTCTCGGGTACGTCCTCGATATTTAAGGACTAATTTACCATGTATTGGAAATCGTAATCATAATGGTAGTTCTAAGAAATTTTCGAAATTCATTTGTGTTAGTTTGTTTTAATTTTTTATTTTTCGTAAAAATGATGAGATTTTGGTTGTAATTTCGTTTAAATGATCTGAATACTTTTTTATAGTCATGTTTAAATTTTAACCATAATTATAGAGAGTTACGCAAAAAATTCCTTATTCATATATGGATATTATGATACATCTATGAGATTATCATATTTATTGACGTCTTGTAGATTAATGTAGAATGATACTATGACACATCTATGGATAATATCAAATTCTTTACTGGCTTGATGGATAGGGTTTACATCCACATGTAGGTTTAAGGTTGGGGTTTCAAACCCTATAAAACACAATTTGTGCTTCTCTTGCGGTATGCCCCATGTGTGGAGGAATTTTCCCTGGAAATCTTCTTGGGGGCTGGGTTTGCCCGCTTTATGGAGTTCAAACTCGGGATCTACACTGGAATATTGGATAGAGGCTTCCGTTGAATCATTTTTCATTTCCAAAAAAATATAAAGTTTGTGTAAACCGATAAGTTTGTGCATGCTAAAATAAAAATAAATAAAACATCGAAAATATATAAAGATAAAAGAATTCCATGTTTATGAGTAGGTAATAATTGTTATGGAAATAAGATAATCTAACTCGTATATATAAAACAACCATTTGGAAAAAAAAAATCGAAACATTTTTAATTTTTTGTAAAATGACCGGTATGTCTAGACCAAGCATGCCGGGATGATGATCGGGATATTAGATTAGGATTCCACAGAAGCATTCCGAAAGCGTTAATTTTTTTTATTAGTTTGTTTTGAAATTTTAATATTTTTGTGTGTTATTTTTGTTTTGTGTGGTAATTATTTTTTGTTTATTTATGGTTTTATATGTGTTATGTGCTAATTTTGTTTGTTTTTTTTATTTATGGTCATTTTTGTTTTGTGTGGTAATTATTTTTGTTTATGTATGGTTTTATATGTATTGTGTTAATTTTGTTTGTTTATTTATGGCAATATATTCATGGTTTTATATTATATTTACATTATAAACTATATATATTGAAAATTAGAACAGTGTTTGAAAGCTTTAAATCTATCAGAAGTAATAATTACATAAGATTAAATATCTTTTAAATAATAGCCCAACGTTTAAGTGGACCCGTATTTTTTCTTCGTAAACCAAAATATTTTCATCAATCGCGTGCAATATGACATGGGTTCCGGTTGAACCCTGTTTAATCAATGATTCAACCGTGATCAACATCTCTATGAACCAACACAAAAACACCCCGTAATCCCTTTTATTGTCAGACTGTTATGGTGCATGTGCCCTTTTCAAGGGTGATTTTAAAACTCTCAATAAGGATTAGATAAGTGGGTTTGGGACCCCAAAAATTGATACCCACTAGGAGTTTTTTGATATGGGCTCGCATATCTATAAACCAAGATGGATCTTTTGAATAATGGTCACTCTTCCAGTAATTATCGTATATAATCATTTTCAATTTCTTGAAATCCGAAACACACAAAAACCAGTGGGCATTCGGTATATTTATAGGATGTAAAGTTGCAAAAAAAGTTGGAATTAACCAATTGTGGAATAATATTTTATTATAAATGACTATTACTTAGGTAATTTAATTGAAATACAAGTATACCATATCACGCTCTGACCAAGTCCAATAAATAGATCCATCAACCATATGCATCTGTGTTGAATACTATCAACACAAATGTCCATCAAGCATCATCCAGTCTACGGTCTGTTCTCAATGAGACTCGCATCATGATGTGTTGCCAATAAACACATGTATACAATAAAGTTAGTATTGTTACCATATTTGTATTAATTTATGATCACATATAGATATAACTTACATCACATTCCAACCAGCCCAAGAGACTATACCATATAAGCACGCCCAAAACTCAATCATCAATATACCAATGATAAATGGAACGAAAACAATAGTGAAGCATCCATTTCATTATATTAAGTATGAATGGTAAGATCTATATAACTGTCCAATAGTGTTAGTTGTCTGTGAGCAAAACCTTTCTTCTTCATCTATATCCATGGGGAATTATGCTTTACGGATACATGTTTTACTCGGTGCAATCACCAAAGAGGTATTGTAGGTGTTTTGTATTGCTCACAAGGAATATCATTTACATCCTACGACTGGTTATATGCAGACATTTGTTAAGTTTCATCATTCGATGGTTTTTCAGGTGTACCTGGCCCATATTCATCGTCCCATAAGTTATTGTTATATGTAGTACCAACATCATCCATGGTAAGTGCATATACGGTTCATTTAATTATAAACGATGCAATAATAGGTATGCCATAAAGTTAAATAAAAATATGTACGAGAGTGAAATAATGAACAAAGTACCTCCACCCCCTTCACAGTACCAACATATTTTCCAACACCCTTATTAATAACTTTTAGAATCATGGCTAATAGCTTCTAATTGTGCAATATGCTTGTGAGATTCACGAACCACATTTTGCAACCGAATAATAATTTGGTCCTTATTAGTTGGTAGTTGTGGTTATGGTCATGGGTCAGATGTGTATTAACCTTTGGTAACATCTCACTGTGTCTTCTTTTGTCGAGGCTCATGGTAGGTGAGTTTGGAGTTGGTGGTGTTAAAAAGGTTCCGTATAAACTTCTGTGGTAGCTACAGCAAGGCACTCAATCCACACTGAGCTAAAAGTTCACCGTTTAGCACGATTCTCCTCTATTGGTAGCTCCAACTTCTTTATAAGTTTATTATCCTGCTAAAAATTGTAAAGTTATAAATATGCATGAGTTTCGATGTGACAGTGTTAGAAAGGTATCTTATAAACATATGTGGTAGCAATAGCATCGTGCTTAATCCACGCCAAGCTAAAAGCCCACCATTCAACATGATTCTAATCTGTTGTCATCTTCAACTTCTTTATAAATTTGTGTAATTATAAATATATGTGTAAAGTATAATTATATATGTAATCATATATCATCAATGATTAGAAACTTATTGAACTAATCTACATCCATCTTCTTCAGTTTCAACCATCAAATAGCCAAAGGGATCACATTCAGTTGTCGGTTACCAAACAAACTATTCACATGAAAACTCTCAAGAATCCATTTCTGAAAAAAAAAAAAAAATCATGTATTAGAATATTAAGAGAAACGAGTTTAATTGTTAATCATGTATTTTAGTTTAAAAGCGTATGAAAATCCATTAAGGGTGTACACTATTTTTGGAGCTTTTTTAGGTTTTGGTAGCACTAGATGTATAAGATTTTTTACCTTATCGAATACAGTGCATACTTGACAGTACAACTGATTCCAAATTATCCTTTCTGTGGATATCCACAGCATTAAAAAACTCATAATTAAATTTGCCAAAAAAATATTATTAATGTGTAACAACGTAAAATTTCCAATTTAATTTTTCATTTTCAAACCACAAAATGTATAACATAACAAAATCTCAAATCCATAACAACAGTGTTTTCAAAACAAATCCCAAGATCTCTCTAACATGAACTCCATCGGTGTGGGTGTGTACGAGTCAAGCCTTCGCCTTCCCACGGTCCTCGCTGGTACCTGAGACATCAAACACAACAACTGTAAGTATAAATGCTTAGTGAGTTCCCCAAAATACCACATACCACAAATACGCCACTCAAGGCTAAACCCGACCCTCCTGTCAAGATGTATCAGCGGGACCCTCCAGTCCCGCAGCTCGTCGGACCCTCCGGTCCAGTCATAGCTCATTGGGCCCTCCGGCCGGGTCAGTATCGTTGGGCTCTCCGGCCCGGTCTATATAACCATGCAGCATACAAATAACACATAGCACGAAATCTCTAAGACAACACATAAACTCATACATAGAACATGAGACCCTCTGGTCAACTCGAAATACCTACTCAAGGTAATGAATAGTGAGAAGACTCACCTCGCGTATCTCGGTAACTCGTAAATCTCGTAACTACTAGTGCTCGACCTCCTAAGCTATCGTCCTCCTGCAACACAAGCATATCCCTACTTAATACCACCTTGACCCTGGCTGACTAACACTACAAAGTCAAACTAGTCAACTCTGGTCAATGGTCAACGATCAACGGTTGACCCGACTCGCCGAGTCCCTACGGGAACCCGATCCCTCTGAATCTCTTCCAATTCACCGAGTCACTCACCCGACTCGGTTACTCAGCCCCTGGTTCATAATCACTGAACATCCCGCACCAACTCGCCGAGTCTGGGAGTGGACTCGGTGAGTGCATTCCATGCACAACCTCAAACGACCTTTTGAGGTCATATCCACTCTACTAACTCATAGATCCAGTCCCCTTAAGCTTATTGACCATGTAAAGTCCAAGTCGTGGTGCTCATTAAGCATCAAATAGCTCATCAATGGTGTTTTAGCCTCAAATACATTGATCCCAACCCAAAACCTCCATGGAAGCATATAAAGCTTGGGCAAAGAGGTTCTCTAGACCTCTATGGGTCCAGATTCAGAGCCATAACTCGCCAAGGAACTATGAGGATACTAGATCTAGCCACAAATGGGTTCAAAAACCCTAAATCTATATGAACATCAAAATAACAAGGAAGAATTCGAAATGGTACCTCAGTTGTGATGTCCTGTACCTTAGTTCTTCAAGAATCCACCCCTCTCTTGCTTCCTCTTGGCTAGATCTCCTCTTCCCTTTCTAGACAATAACTCCAAGATCAACAATGGCTCTTTCCCTCACTTGAATCACTCAAATGCTCTAGGATCTCACTCTGGGGACTGATGAGTGCAAATGATGGCCATATGTCCCTTTAAATAGGCCTCAAACCTGAGAAATTAGGGTTTCATTAAACAGTGCAGACTCACCGAGTCCGGGCATCAATCCGGGTGAAAAATCGCGTCTCAACTCGGCGAGTCTATGCACCAACTCGCCGAGTCCTTCCACAAAACTGAAAATAAAAGAATAATTAATTTACCTGAAATACCGGATGTTACAATTCTCCCCCACTAGAATTCGACTTCGCCCTCGAAGTCTCATTCCTGAAATAGCTTCGGATGCTGCTCCCGCATCTCCCGCTCCAGTTCCCAGGTTAACTTGGATCCCTTCCGATGCTGCCATTGAACCTGTACCAGAGGCACTTCCTTGTTCCTCAGAACCTTGATCTTCCGATCCACAATGGCAACTGGTCTCTCCGTGTAGTTCAGGCTCGCATCCACCTGAATATCCTCTAGAGGCACCACTACCGAGTCATCGGCAATACATTTCCTCAACTGCGAGAGATGAAAGGTATCATGGATCTGCCCCAACTCAGCAGTTAGATCCAACCGGTAGGCTACCCTGCCTACCCTAGCAATTACCCTGAAGGGTCCAATATATCGGGGTCCCAGCTTGCCCCTCTTCCTGAATCATATCACTCCTTTCCAAGGAGAGACCTTTAGTAGCCCAAGGTCACCAACCTGAAACTCGAGCTCGGACCGACGCCTATCCGC